TCATCCCTCCTGCCTTCTCTCAGCAAGGGAGGGAGCTGGCCGATGCCCAGCCAGGCCCTGGAGCTACCCTGCAATCCCCGGGCCCGTACCCGCCGCGGGCGTCCCGAGAGCCCTGAGTCACCCCGCTCGTCTCCTCCTGCCCAGGCCGGACCTGGAGCTCCAGTTCAAGTGCTACCACCACGAGGACCGGCAGATACGCCACGCCCCTGACCATCGAGCGGGGCGACAACAAGACTTCCCACAAGCCCCTCTACCTGAAGCAGGTGTGCCAGCCCGGGAGGAACACCATCCAGATAACCGTCACCGCCTGCTGCTGCGTAAGTGAGCCCTGCTGGGGCCCTGGCCCGGTTCTGGTGCCCACACTTCAGGAGGGGTGTGACGGGGCAGAGAGCCACCAGAGCGCGGCCAGGCTAGAAACCCCCCGGCAGTGACACTCAAGGAGCCCAACAGAAGGTTACGGGTGGATTTGCTCCAGGCTGGCGGTGTCTCCAGGGGCAGCCAGCGGAGGTCTGGGCTCTGCGCGCTAGCAGAGGGCCTAACCCCGGCCAGTGCCGGAAGCAGAAGCTGGAGGAATTCAGACGGGAAATCAGGTGTCACTATTTCACAGGGAGAGTCCTTAGCGTGGAGGCATTTCACAGGGGCTGCGTCTCCATGTTGCAATGCAGGGGGCTGCTCTTCCAAGAGATCTGCTCTAGGACCGATTCCGGGGAGCGCTCTGGCCTGGCTCTGGCTTTGCTTTTCATCACATGCAGCTCCCCCGCCTCCCGGGAGTCCGGTTTCCCTCCAGGTTCTCCAGCCAAAGGCCCGTTCCCATGATGCACCACGTAGCTTCATCATGAGGGGAAAGAGGTCAGAGATGGGGTGGGGGACACACCTTAGCGCTGCTCCTAGCTCCGGGGAGCACGGCCTCCGGGATCTGGGCAGCCAGAGACTGCGCCGTAGCGCCGGGGGGGAGATGCTTCCTACAGTGTATTTCTGATGCTGCAGGAACTCCACCTCCCAGCAACAGCAGGCTGGGCCTACCCCGCAGAGCTCCGGCACTCAGGATGCTCCATAGCTACGTCAGTGGGTGGAGCAGGGGGCTCTGGGAGCCCGGACTCCTGGGGCGCCACTTAGTCGCCCTGTGACCCAGGACTGGTCCGCTCACCCCAGCTGTGCGTACTTGCACTTCCCTTGCAGGCTTGCTTAGCTCAAGCAGATGGGATCTTCCATTGGCAGGTGCTAGAGAAGGGCACAATTACTAGCGTGCTGGCGGCTCTTCGCCCCGGCACACACGCACCCCGGCAGGAAGTCTAACCCTGGCCAGCCAGGGCCACGGAGCCCATGCGGTGGAGAGGTGAAAGCGTCCTAGTGGGGCAGGCGGATTGACCTCGGGGCAGACGTGCCTGACGTCCCAGCCTGGGGACCCAGAGCAGGATTTCTGTGCTCCCTGGGGCGGGCTGTGAGGGAGGCTGTGGAGAATCGAAATTCATAGTTATTGGATCCTTCAGCTGGTCGGTGGAACCCTGGCCGGGGCCTGCCCTGAATTAACTCCTCTTTGAATGGAGCAGATCTTGTCGCAGAGCACCCGCTCTTGTGTGACACGTGGCCAGCGAGAGAGATGCCACCCCAGCCCTTGGGAGAGGCTCCAAAGGCGTCTTGCAGTTGTTCAGCCCGAAACCAAAACCTTTTGTGAAAAGAATGTTCAGGTTGCAAAGCCAGGCACCGAAAACTAGGAAATTCCGCCGCGAAGGGGCCTGTGCACCTTGCGGACGCGTCCCCCTGCCAAAGCCTGGGCAGAGACGGGGTAGGAGACGCCTTAGTTCTGCTTCTCACTGACATGCTGGAAAGAGGGTTTGGACCTGTGAGCAAAACGAGGAACCGTTCCCTAGTCGTGGTCTTGGGCCTTGTCGCTGAAACAAGCCCAGAGAATGCAGCTTGAAGCAGACTCCCGGGGGGGAAGAGATCAGCCTGAGCAGTGAGCATCTGGCAAAGTTAAACCCAGCTGCAAACAGGGGTTTCGAATGGGAAGTGCCCTGAATTCTAGCTGGCACCGCCCCTGCCAGCTCAGCTAACCTCTCTCCTCCTCTCGCAGTCTCACCTCTTCGTGCTGCAGCTGGTGCACCGGCCCTCCGTGCGCTCCGTGCTGCAGGGGTTAATAAAGAAGCGCCTGCTGCCGGCCGAGCACTGCATCACCAAAAGTGAGTGTTCCCCTTGGGGCCGTGGGGCACGAGCTTGGAGGCCCCAGCTCTGTGGGCAGCGCCCCTGGAGCTGTGTGGATGGTGTGGGGGGGCCCCTGCCCTGCGCCTCAGTTTCCCCCATTGGTGACTGGAGAACAGGCCCCTGAGCTGCCAGCCAGCGATTCAGGAGCCTGGAGATGCTGAGGCCCAAGGAGAAGGGGCGAGCGGGTTAGGAATTAGGACTCTGTTCAGTCTCTAGCCCTGGGCCTCCCAGTTCCCCGGGCCGGGGGCACCCTCAGGGTGACCAGCACTGACCCCCCCGCTCTGAGTGGCACTAGCCAACCCATAAGGGCAGGGAGGCCTGGCCATTAACTCCATACACGCTTCCCCC